AATTATGCCTGGGATTAAGGATATCTATAATTCCATTTGTTAAATTATTAAAAATATATTTTATAATACGTTACTTGGGCAATATACAGGATGTTCCTTAATGACTTGCTAATATTTAAAGAGGTAATTATTGGACCTGTTCCAAGAAAAAAATACTTCATACGAATGCATGTCCTAAACATCTTAATTTTTGAGATACAGGTAGATAAAATTTTATAAAAAAACTTTTTTTAGAAAATTTTTACAATCCAGTATCTCAAAAGTTAAAATGTTTATGATTATAGGACATAATATCAAATTTTTTTTCTTACGATAGGTCCAAGAATTACCCCTTATTAAGGTTGTTCGTTAATTTTACCAAAGTAACAAATAAAAAAAGAGTTTAATTCATATTTTATATTTTATGATTGAGTTCTTTTGTGTTCTTGGAGAGATAGGTAAATTGTTATTGTATTAAGTATTATTTCGTCACTCTTTATAACAATAGTGTAAATATTTTGAAACTAAAAAGACACTAGAAAAAGATTAACTATGAATTAGGGGTACGGGGGTCATAAGAAAAGATATTAATGATCTTAATTGTATTTTATAAAAATTGCTGTCACCAACAAAATCTATTATATTATTTAAATAATGATAGAGAGGGAGCAATAAAACTTAATTTTATGAGAATGATTAGGCTATCAGTTATTTACTTAGTAATGCAATGACATTTAATGGACCAGTTAGCTATTTCTAAAACTCTCTATCTAATAATTAAATATAAGAATTTCAAATAAAATTAATGGCTTATACCGGGTGGGTCTCAAAAGTGGCTCACCCCTATAATTTTTTTATTCTTTCTGATAAAAAATCCAGATTTGGTATATTAATCTTCTTACAGTGCCATACTCTATATAGAGCGTCGGCTACCTCTCGTATGTACTTGTGATGTGTGTCGTCAGTGTTTCACAAGTACACGGGACCTACAGTTTATTGCCGAATCCGAACAGCACTATTTGAGAGGCTGTACAAGGCAAATACAGGGTGGTCCGAATTGTATTCCGAAAACTTTGGCAGCATATTCTGCAGATAAAATTAAGTAAAAAAGTTCGTATAAATGTATGTCCTAAAATGCTTAGTTTCGGAGATACAGGGTGTAGAAATTTCATTTTTATTTCAATTTTTTTCAAATAATTTAAGAAGTAACGTCAATATAGGGATGAAAATTGGTGTCTGGGAGTTTTTGGACATGAGAAATTTGATTTTCATGTCAATATGACTCCTACTTGTAGAGGGCGCCACCTACATATGCTTTAACTGGTTTGAAGAGTAATAACTTTTCATCCATACCTGTATAAAACTACTGAGTAAAAAAATATACATTTACAATTTTTTTTTACATAAAGGTCTCTTGGTAAAAATCGCTACGAGTAATGGTTCTCGAGATATTTGAAATTGAAATTATCAATACCTGTCATCATTGACAAATTAAACATGTTGACCAAATAGTTATTAGACTGAAATTTTAAATTTGAAATCTTTTTGTGCCAAAAGTTCAACAGAAACTGTTTAATCATCATTTTTTCGCACAAAAAAATTATGATTAATTTAAAAAAATAAAAATTTATTATTTCAGTCAAATAACTCTACTCAACGTGTGCTTATTTTTTGTCAATGATGACATGTATTGATTATTTCCATTTTAAATATCTTGAGAACGGTTGCCTGTAGCTATTTTTACCAAGAGACATTTTTTACGTAAAAAGTCATGGAAATGTATATTTTTTTAGTCAGTAGTTTTATACAGGTACCGTCGAGAAGTTATTACTCTTCAAAACAGTCAAAACGCATGTAGGCGGCGCCCCCTACAAATAGGAGTCATTTTGACATTAAAATCAAATTTCTCGTATCACAAAACTCCCAGATACCAATTTTCATCCAGATATTGACGTTATTTCAGAAATTATTTAGAAAAAATCGAAATAAAAATGAAACTTCTACACCCTGTATCTCCGAAATTAAGCATTTTAGGACATACATTTATATGAACTATTTTACTTATTTTTATCTGCAGAATATGCTGCCGCAGTTTCCGGAATACAGTTCGGACCACCTTGTATACTCAAGGTGGTTTGCCATTGCCTTCCTTGAGGAGGCAGCTCATTGGTCGCTCTATTTAGATAAATAAATATTTTTATTTAAATAAATAAAGCGACCGTACTGGCTGGGGATCGAACCCAGTACCTTCTGCTCCGCAGATCGACACACTAACGCTGGAGCTACGGCCGGTATATTAATATATGACATAAATTAGGATTGATTGATGTATATAATTGTTTTCTGCCACTACCTGTTTCACCGGAAATGACTATAATTTTTGATTTTTAAATGGTACCCTCGGTGTTTTGTTGCTTTATTCGATGGAAAATGACACTATGATTAGAATGACATATTATAGGTCAACTTTTTACATTTTCTAATATGGTTTATTTGAAATTACAACATGCGATTCATAACGACAATTTGACTCGAAATACCAAATGTGTGGTACCAAATTATTCGTAAAAAATGTTTTTTTCTAATTATGCTAATGAGTCACCAGTCGTTCCATTTGAAAAAAATTGAGATATGATCAAAAATACGATTTGGGCATCTTTTAACCGGCTAGGACAAGAGAGGAATAACATTAGACGATCAAATCTATTTTTCCAAGCCCTCCTTGATTAAAAATTAGTGTTTTTAACACAGCAATGGCACTCTAGATTGAAATTTAAAATTCAATTTTGTTTTAAGCAAAAATGTCAAAAGTTGACATATGATATGTCATTCTATTCATAATGTCATTTTCTATCGAATAAAGTAAAATAATACTGAGGGTGCCATTTAAAAATCAAAAGTTTTAGTCAATTCCGGTGAAACAGGAAGTGGCCGAAAAGAATTATTGAATACGTCAATTAATCCTAATTTATGTCATATACTAACATACGAAATTTCGTTTTTTTTATCTGATAAAATAAAAAAGTTATAGGGTGAGCCACTTTTGAGACGCACCCGGTATACATATTACTGTCTGCTATCACAAATCAGTGACATTTAATATTTATATATATTCTTTAATTGATTTCTATTGTATTAAAGTAAGTAGTAAATAAAGTACATGGTGTATATACAAAATATAGTAAAGAAAAGTAACAAAATGTAGTAATATATCTTGTAAAAAACGTATTTTACTCTCTTGACGAGTTCTTGTCGCACAAATTTGGACTAAATTGTTTTGTGAATTTTATGACTGGTTTTTATCTTGTGAATTTTGCATTGTAAAATTTTTCAATTTTATGTTACTGCTTTTTTGTATTTTTTCACATTTAAGTTTTCTATTTTATATAGTATATTGTTTTTATATATTGACGTGTGTAAACTTTTCTTTGTACTGGCATGAGTAAATAAATAGATAAGGATAAAGACCAACTACTGATACGGAGGTGTCTCAAATTTGAAGGAATCACTGGGATCTCCGATACCATAAATATTAGATAACATGAATGTCAATAGCAAAGTTGCGTATTTTTATTACCATTATTTTTATTACCATTAAAATGGCAAATGCAAAATTGAAAATATTCGAATTCTTCCGAAGATAATTCGAAAAAAAGAATATTGTAATATCGTTTCTAATTTTTCCTGTGTTTATTTGAAGGGGTATAAAATAAATTTCACTTTTTCTCTGCATAAAATGGTGTAATTAAATTTCAAATCTGAGGTTAAACCTTCGAGATTCCATCAGCTTTAATCTTTAAATACCAATATGGATTTTTATTCCCTTTTCTAAAAGCTTATGGTCTCCCAAATGCAATGATTCGTAATCACACTTGCCTAAAAATTGTATCTTGTTCTTAACACACTTAATCAAAGTGATCTGTATACCCGTCTATCTCCAACACATTGCCCCTTATGAGAATTTTCTTAACTATATATTTTTAAGCAACCTTATTGTACCGTATGATCTAATAAAAACAGCGTCAGCGATGGCTATGAAATGAACATCGATGACATTTCCCATATAAATTTACATATATAAAATGACAGCGATCTTCATTTCATAGCCATCGCTGACGCCGTTTTTATTCGATCATACGGTATTTATGTCAAACTCCTGGGATACCATCGAAGAAAAAGGAAGGCCTAAAGCTGACGTTATGCGTAAGCTGTCAGTCACTACAATTTTAGGCCTTATATGCGAAATTCTTCATAGTTTCACATTCGATATAAACTTGGATTTTACTTAAATTAGTATGAATAGTTAATGACAAAAGTGAAAGAACATCATTAGATCAAAATTATTCTTCAAATTTAAAAGCGTACTTTTAAGAGAATGTATGACAATTTTTACAATAGTTTCAGCATTATGAACAACATAATGTCGGAAGTACTTAATAACTAAGTACTTTCGACACTATGTTAAAAGTACCGTATGATCGAATAAAAACGGCGTCAGCGATGGCTATGAAATGAAGATCGCTGATTTTATATGTAAAATTATTTGGGAAATGTCATCGATCGTCATTTGCAAGCCAACTGGACGCCGTTTTTTTTCCATCATACGCTACTTAATAATGTTATATTATATTTATATTTCATAAACATATTTTTTTTTTATCTAATGGTGTACGTGGTTGAGAAAAATGCAGTTTTTAACTCATTTGTCTAAATTGTAATATTTTGGTCATATATCTGAAACTAAGATCTATTTAATCTTAATTTCAGATCCTAGAGGCGATCTAAACATAATGTTATAGTAGTCATTGAAAGGAATTTTAATTTGAAGAAAAAAAATGTTTTGAATATTTGACATCCTTTTTCCAGGAATTTGAAAGTATCCAGGACTTAGTAGTATTAAATTCATTGAAATATTGATTTTTTAGATGCCAAATATTCGTCCGTGCATATTTATGTAATATATACAGAAGAAATTCTGCATAAAGAATGATTATTAAGTATGTGGTTTTGTTATTTTTCAGAGAAAAGTATTAGATGCCAGTTTGGGCTTCGCCGCTGGTGTAATGACAGCAGCGTCATTTTGGTCGCTACTGTCGCCCGCCATCGAATTGGCGGCAAGTTCAAAAATGTACGGTGAAAATGGGGAATATGCCTTTGTCCCGGTAGCCCTGGGCTTCATCCTTGGTTCGTTATTCGTCTATGGTGCGGACGTCTTGATAACGGTGCTTGGAGTCCATTCTCCCAACATGATGCTCGGTAAGTACAGAACTACCTTAAGTACCTAGTATAGAAGGGTTATTCGGCTATTAAATATGGAGTAAAACAAGAATTAACTACTTGAAAAATACTTCCGTAATTATTGAAACAAAAGTGATAATTGAAAATAAAAGTTTTGTTATAATATTTTCATGTCTACTAATATTTTTGAATGATTTTAATTACTAGATAAATACAGGAGTTCCTTGTTTTACGCGGCATATTCGTTGCGGTTTCGTTCATACGCTTTAGCATTTGTGACACCAGTTTCTAATTTTACGCGGCCCACTTATAGGTACGCTTTTTAACTATACACTAGATACGACAGGTTTTTAATTCTGTAATTAATGTATGGGACACGACTACACGACATAATGTACGATAGTTATTGTAAAATATCATGAGAAACGATTATTTAGATATTGGCTACATATGGCCAGAAATTGTCCCACAGCGTGACAGCTTCCCATTAACTCGAGCGATTGAAAATCATGTTAATTCAATAACATATTATGATCGAAGCCTCTCTGCTATAATCCAGTTGATTTGTAGGATAGAAATTTTAAGAAATGCCTCTGAACATCCTCTAGTATTTTTTTCTAATTTTCGTAAAATGGATTTCAGGTGATATCGCCATATTCGAGTTTTGACAGTACATATGCATAATAAAGACATTTTAACCCAGATCATATATACTTACGTGGATAAATCAACGCTATAAGTTTAGCATTAAAAAATATGTCTCCAACATCACGACATGCCATTTTCAGACTTTCTTTATTGTACTTATGAAACGTTCAGTAGGTTTGTCTTTTCCGAGGACCTTACTTTACGTATGCGCATATAAAAAGTTACACGTATTTCCAAAATAATCCCAGCTTTATACGGTTTATAAAGTACAAATTATACATTGTTATGCAATCCAACTTTTCATTGTCATCATATTGGCATAATCTTGTCCAATCTTGTCATAATCATATGTCATAATTTTATTTCCATTTTGTAACGCCGCTTGTTTTTGCGTTTTTTTACTTTAAAAATTGTATTATTACTCTTTTATGGACCGCTTTTATATAGCCAAGGATGCAAGTGCGTTTAGTGAGAAGTTAATTTTAAGTTTGTACGCAATTATATTTCTATTTTTTTGTTGGACTTCCTAAATACTCGTAAAAATGACTAGAAAGTGTTTAGTGTATGAAAGCTCTAATATAACGGTTCCCGAATGATCTTTTCATAGGCAAATAAAGTATACAGTTGTTCCTATATTTATATTAAACCACATGTAGAATGTAGAATGTTTAGGAGGGGAGTTGATCACCGCGACCTTATAGATCTATTGTGTGTTCCCCTTTCTTGAGTTATAACGAGTTATAACTCATCATACAGTCTCAGGGCTTTAACAAAAGCCAGTATCTGAGACGGCCACGGAGGCCAGCTCTCCATCCTCGACATCAGACGTACCACGGTTCATGGCACGAATGGTCGTCGTCTCGGCGCACTCAGTGATAAGGTGTTCTGGTGTTTCCCCATTTTCCTCACAAAATCTGCATTCGCCGTTGTTTCTCAGTTAATTAAACCACATAGTATCCATGTAGTTTAATATAAATAAAAGAGGTTCTGGTTAGATTTCCTAAGAATATTGATATGCGCACGGAGTGGCTAAATGTATTTTTATATAATTTAATTTTTCGGTCAGTAAACATTCAACTTATTGTTCAAATATATGCATTTTACAAATTAAATTTTTAAAATTAATGTTTAAATTTGGTGCGCGGACGATAGGTCCTCGACAAGGATATAGATAGAGTAGAAGCACCGCGTGTGCAACAAAAAAAGAAGATAAATGGGAAGTCGTTGATATGTTTAGGCACTACTTTACATTTTGCAAGTGAAAGTCCATTGTACATACACCAATCATTAACTAACTCTAAATCTTTCTGCAATATCCAATAGTAATATTTTTGGATCATCAGCAAATAATAATCTCTCACAATGAAGAGCCTCAGGCAAATTATTAATATATAAGAGGAATAGTAATGATCCATACCCCTGAGGTACACTGGCTACACCAGTACTTGAGTTGTAACCATTATAGAAATGAAAATACTAAATTACTGTGAAAACCAGGACCTGCAACTTTTTTAGCCAAAATATCCGGATTTATTCTATCAAAAGCCTTAGAGATATCAGTATACACAACATAGAGCTCTAGAAACAAACTGGGTAAAATTAACCAAATTAGATGCTGTTGATCTGCATCCGACAAATCCATGCTGCTTGGGTGATGTGCAATTTTTTACAAATGGATAAATTTTATTATACATAAAGCTCTTTCAAACGATTTGGTTAAGTTACACAATAAAGCTAATAAGTATATAATTGTTAATACACGAGGCATCGCCATTTTTAAATACAGGACAAACCTTTCCAGTTTTTCATAATTTGGGAAAATTATTAGATTGCAAAAATACATTAAATATTACTTTCAATGGATGTGTCAAAACATTCATACAATCTTTAATCAAAAATTAAGAAAGTTATTAAAAAAATATAAAGAAACAAAAAATAAGAAATGAAAATGTAAAAAATTAATAAAAAAAAATTTTGTTTAAATTTTGAAAACCACTGTTTTTCTTCCACTAAATTAGAATATACCACCCTAAAATATTTTAACTTATTTAAGGCTCACCTTGTATAGTTTATGTTATAAAATGTTGTTTTAATTTACACGATTTTAATCTACGCGGTGTTTACAAGGGACATATATGTAACCTCTGCGTAAAACGAGAAGACGACTCCTGTATAGATTTAATAAAAATAACCGTGTACGGTCAAAATGATAATTTACACAATAAATCGTTTAATATACCTAATCTTGATTTGCCGATAACGATAAGTAGTAAATTAGATATACGAGTAGTACGTCTTAATTGTTTTTATATACTTAAACATGGTCTTAACAGTCAATATCGCAATATTGTGTATATAAATCATTTACGGTGGTTCATTTACTTCACACGTATATTATATTTCTTAAGCCCACCAAAATATTATATTTTAGTTATAAAAAGTCATCGTTATCATCATCATTCTTAGCTTACCCAACAAACATTTGAAGTTAAAATTACGTTAAATTAACCACCTGGACTATTATTGACCAACTGGAAATTGGTCGAAATTTCCAAGAATTGACGTTAAAATTCCCAACCCAACAAACATTTGAAGTTAAAATTACGTTAAATTAACCACCTGGACTATTATTGACCAACTGGAAATTGATCGAAATTTCCAAGAATTGACGTTAAAATTCCCAACCCAACAAACATTTAAAGTTAAATTTACGTTAAATTAACCACCTGGACTATTATTGACCAAAGGAAATTGGTCGAAATTTCCAAGAATTGGCGTTAAAATTCCCAACCCAACAAACATTTGAAGTTAAAATTACGTTAAATTAACCACATTGACCAACTGGAAATTGGTCGAAATTTCCAAGAATTGACGTTAAAATTCCCAGTGGGGAATAAAACTAAAGTAATTTGGAAGTTAAAAACAGGTTAACATGTAATAATATCTTCTATGAAATATGGGCTATGAATTCAAAAATAACCGACCTGAGGTCATAACATGGTAAAATAGAGGTGAATTTTACTAAAATAGTCCTAATTTATACTACCTACATTTTAACATGGGAAAGAAGGAGAAAGAATACGGTAAAATATTTTTCTTTTTAACATGTGTAAATGAATTTCCCAATTTTTATTTACCAGGATAATTTTTTTTCCCAATTTTTATTTACCAGTTTTTATTAAACCAGGAAGACAAAAAAGTGTAATAACTGGCATGACCGTTTGAACATTAATTCAATATGGATGAAATACCTACATACATATATGCACTTCCTAGTAAATGTAAATAAGTTATTGGTAAGAAGTGGATTACTGGATTCCCAAGATAATTATGTCTGCGGGGAAAATTTTTCTGTGAGATGTAAATATGATAGGCCCCAAAAAATTATGCGCCATTAAAATTTTATGTATTTTCAACAATTAATTTTAGAATAAATCGCTATTTTCAAGGTTCTAACCTAACTTTTTTTCAGCTAACTTCCTTGGTACACTTTTACTGTTCTTAATTAGTTAATTTAACTTGTGCTAGGTAATATTATTCATAAACGTCTGTTTATTTTTCTCAATAGTTTAGAACAATATCACAAAAAATATTTTTTGCAATTGGATACAAACAACAAATTGGATAAGAAAATGGCCGCTAATGGTGTTTTTAACTATTCTTCTATGAAGTTAGGTTTTCCATAATTTTAAAACCTTAAAGTCTGCTTTCTTTGTATGAGGTTAAGATTTCTTTAAATTAATAACCTCAAAGGTCAAGATTTCTTGCTTACGGTATTTTTCCTTCGAGGTGCAAGTTAAAAAATGGGCTATATTAGGTCGAACCTCATTTCTCGAAGTCTTGACTACATTGTTGGAGTATGGCCGGTAAAACAGAAAACTTTTATTTGCTTTGAGTGACAGTGACAGTTGACAATGATAATTTATGCTAAGTTCGGTAATTACATCTTCGAGCAATCCAATTAACACCACAATCCACAGTAATCATGTGTCCTAAAATGAGAATCTTTATTGAGAGTCACGTGACATGTCAAATTTTTATCCTTTTCCTGGCCGATGTAATTACCGAAATGGTCTAATCTAGAAGACTAACTAACTAGAAAACTAAATTAGTTTTCTTTGCTTATTATTTTTAAAAGTTTTGTGTTTTGGGATTGTGAATGTTATTACAGAGGACTTTTTGTTTTTATTGCACATAATGGACACGTTTACGATTGTGGCGATAATAAAAAAGAAACGCATTGAACATTCTTTCGTTCCCAACCAGTGGGAACAAGGTAATGTGCTATGACGTAATAATCCCTCGAAAACTTTTTTAAACGGAAATCACCCCGAGGAAATTAAAAAAGGTAATTTTTAACCTGCCGTATGTCTGACTTTCTTCCAAGTCAAAAAACTAAGTTACTTTTACCTTTGAAGCATAATCCTCATTTTTAGATTTCTCGCACTTTATTTCCTATAAGAAATTGATTAAGTTAAATATAAGTAAAATTCAACCAAATAGTGGTTAATTTTCCGTGGTCAATGGTTTTTTCTCCTTCCTATGCTACTTGGGTATTCAACCATTTCAATTATGGTGTAGACTCCCTCACATATACTCTCTTGTAGTTGGGCCCATTGTTGCCTATTGTTGGCTATACGGGCCCAAGTTATCCCTGCTAATTTCTTAATATTATGGTCCCATCTCAGGTTTGGTCTTCTTCTAGGTCTTTTAATTCCTCGTTGGTACCATGCAGTAATTTTTGTGGTCTAACTGTTGTCCGTCCTTATTGTCAGGTGTCCTATTGCCACTTAATGTATTTGATTCTGAAGGTGACATCTATTAACTGATTCTTTTGTCGTATCCGCTCTATTCTTTTACGGTCTTTCTTGGTTATTCCCCAAGAACGGTAAACTAATAGGATTGCTCATCCTCATAAGACGTACGTTCGCCTCTTCCCGCGCTTCAACTGACAGTTGTGACGTCATTGTAGCCCTTGTCACAGCCTTCGTGGCCTTGTCATGATAGTGTGTATTATTAGTTGCCTATGGTAAACTTATAAAAATAACAGCTGAAAAATTTTGGTTAATTATTTTGTCAATTTTAAATGTGAAAAAGGTGTCTTTAAGTTTTTAGAGTTATAGAGTATATAAATACGTTCATTTTGTGTTGTGGATTGTGACAAAGTGGATTTCTGGTAGTAGAGATCCCGAGCTGTGTATTAGTTGTCCCAAATGTATTCTTCTACTATTTCCAGTTTTGTGTTATTTATTAGAATGTCTTTTTTGTCTACTAGTTCGTTGTACATTACTTTAGTTTTTGCAAAATTTATTTTGAGCCCTACTTTGTTCCTAGCTGTATTTAGTTCGTTAATTTGCATTTGTAGTTATTCAGGACTATTGGCAATAGACTATGTCATCAGCGAATCTCCAAATTTTTATTTTTTCTATTCTCCACTTATAAATACTATTTATTAAATTTTAGAAGACATAAACCTCAAGGTAATCACTAGTAAAAAAATAGACGGAAGTTTGATATTTTAAATAGATATTATGTCAAAATTATTTTTTTCCGTGATGATATTTTGTTGGTTTATCAAATATTCATTTAATTTATTCATAATTTACATATTATACATAAGATATTAAAACATTAAGCGCATTAAGTACGTTTTTATTTAAATGGTTTCATCAGAAAATAATAAAATACAATAACTACTTTCATTGCCATTGCCTTTAACAACCTAAAAAGTATGATGATTTTGCCACTTAAAGAGAAATCGAACTAACAAAAAATGCTTAGCATTTTGGAAGGTATATTTCCTATTATAGTCAGAAGCAAAAAACACAAAGAAAATGAAAAAAAACTATTTAAAGTATCTAACTGCTAACTACTCAGAATATTTAACATTAGGCAAAATACGCACGGTGAGGAAAATACAATATATATATATATATATATATATATATATATATATATATATATATATATATATATATATATATATATATATATACAACTTACAATTTCATACATACAAGGCGTTTCAGGAAAAGAAGGATAGATTAAATTACATTTTTTGTGTAACATACTTATTATAGAGCTGGGCAAATGAAAAAAGTAGAGTGGAAAAAATCAATATTTCCAATGTTACCGATCTTGCCGCAATATTACGTAATATAAACAAAATTACCGATAATATTACCCTTTACATAACTAGGTGTGTACAGGGTGTCCCATTGAGGTTGAAATCATACGGTATCTCCGTTATTAGTGAAGATAGGAAGATACGGTCTGCAAAAACCTATGCCACTTTTTTGTCAAACGGAAAATGCCATACACAAAATTTTCATAGCCCTCTTCGTTTCTGAGCTACAGGGTCTTTTTGAAAATTTTGCATTTGGGGTACCCCCTGTATCTCTGTTATTATTAAAGATATTGAGACGGTGAAAACTGTTTATTGTAGAACTTTTTACGTAGAATACAGTGGCGTAGTCTGTTATTCTACGAAAGGAATATTTTTAAAGATATAAACTAGAGTCATGTTTTCTTAAATGTATACCCTGTATACCACCCTGTATATTTGTAAATTATATGATCTGGTTTGCCATAACATTCTCAAAAATATATAACACTCTATATTTATTTTCATTATTTAATGCTATATTTAAAAACAAATTAAAAGATCATATTTTTTATTAGTAGGCCATGATTGATAATAAACAATTACAACAGTTTCCCACTAAAGAATTATTAAAAGTATACTGCTATCTGTCTCTTTTTTTATCTTGAGAGCCACCGATTAATTCTTTATATATTAGAGAAACTTAAATCTCTACCGCTATTTGTAAATCTTGGAAGCTATCTTATCGGAACTTTTAAATATTCCTTTAGCTAATTTACGTGAAATATACTTTCAGCAAGATGAGGCTCCCCTTCCCCAAATTAGAATTTTATTAAATTATTATTTCTCAAATCAATGATTTGGAACCAATGTACCCATAATATGATGGCCTCCCTGATTCCCAGATTTGTTCGTTCTCGATTTCTGATTTTGGGGATTTTTGAAATATGAAAAATATAGTGGCAACTAATACGATGTCGAACACCTAGAAAATTCTTTAATAATGCAAGCTTTTAGAAATTTGCAAACCCATCCCATTATAATAAATTCCGTTATAAAAAAGAGAAAACTATATTCAGAGGTTCACTGGTCACAGTTCAAAAGTAAAATATGTCAATTCCAAATAAAATTGTAATATGTGTATGTATATTTTAGTAAATACCATTTTGATTTTGTTATTAATCACGGCCTACTAATAAGAAAATGATATATTTTAAATATTGCAGTAAATAGTGAAAATAAACATAGAGTGATAGTGTATATATATATATATATATATATATATATATATATATATATATATATATATATATATATATATATATATATATATATATATATATATATATATATATATATATATATATATATATATATATATATATATATATATATATATATATATATATATATATATATATATATATATCTATTTGAAAAAACATAACTTTAGTTAATATTTTCAAAAATATTTTATACGTAGAAAAACAGACTACGCCATTGTATTCTACGTAAAAAGTTCTACAAGAATCAGTTTTCACCTTCTCGATATCATCCATAGTAACGGTGATACGGGGGCTGTTCCAAATTGCAAAATTTTCAAAAAGACCCTGTAGGTCAGAAACGAAGAGGGCTATGAAAATTTTGTTGACAGCATCTTCTGTTTGGCAAAAAAGTGGCACAGATTTGTACAAACCGCACCCTTCTATCTTCACGAATAACGGAGATACCGTATGATTTCAACTAAAATGGGACACCCTGTACACCATTTATTCAGGTTTCCCTACCTGAAATGATTGAATAAATGGGGTAAAGAAGCAGAGGAAAACAATCTTAACAAAAATAAAACAGAAACACACTATAAAGAATTTCTGGACTTTGAATGGTTTAACATATTTATGATGCTCTTAACTTCGTGATTTTATATTGTATTTACTTGAGACAAGTTGAACATATTTTCACATATATATTCCTTATTGTTTTTTACAGCACTGCATGCCACAAATAAAGGAAAGAGTCGTGATGGTTCCAGACGCGATTCTACGCACTTGCCGTTGCCTGACTCGACTGCCATTGAGGGGTTTTCTGATGTGGGGGGAACTCGCGTCCACCGCAGAAGGGGTAAGTACCCACTAGCAAAGAAGGGGTAGAAATTTAAGTTGTGCTCCAAGTCGAAAAAAATATCGTTTTTAAAATAATTCGAGCGAAGAAACAACAAAAAATTTTGAATGAATTTAATTTCTAAATTAGAGTGGAAAGATGATGTCTTTTAAACATTATAAATAAGTTGTCAAGAGTACACTAAAAAGTAAGCGTTTATTTTTTATTAAAAAAAAATTAGGACAAACCTTAAATATTTTTGGATTTTTATGTATTTCTGGAATTGTAGACATTAAATATATAATTTAAATCAACCTACAAATCAAAAAATGTAATGAAAATCCTTCTACGGAGACAAATTAATCGATCGCAAATTTTTAGCAAATTACGCCAATTCATTGAGGTAACTTTTTTGGCCTTTCTTTATCTTCTACAAGTTTTGATTTTGTTATTTGTGCAGTCGACACATGTCCATTTAAAAACTGAAGCAACTTTTAATTAATAGCTCCAGAATCGCTAATTTAATCATCGTAATTATTTGTTAAATATCAGAAACGTATAGTTGGATGATTTCAAAATAGTATTAACCAGGAAGTAACAAAACGAAGATGGAACAATATGATAAGCCTATATACAAGTAGGTACATTTTGCCTTTTAAATTTATAAAATATATAAAACTACTAATTTCAAATGTATTTTAAATATATGCAGAGCTGCAAGCTCACAGTAAATTAATTAAGTATTTTATCCAACAGCCACTACTTATATACAGACATTACTCACATGTATACATGCATATAAAATAAATAATAACACACGCGTGAAATTTTGAAGTTATAACAAACTAGTGTGTTATTAGGTTTGTTCCAACCAGCATTTCGGGATCGTTTCGAAATCGTACTCGAATTGGTTTTCTTGCACTTTGTTAGCATGCGCAGACTTCGAATAGTTTCGTGACGGTGCAAAAAGTATCAACGTTGGAATGCTTTGTGGATTGTTTTAGGGACTGTCAAAAGTGTCAAGCGTGCGTGTATCGATCGGTTTTTTGTTTTTGTTCGAGGAAACAAGAAAATACGATTAAAGCTTACCTAAATATTGTACATTTTTCACACTTTTAATAGGCAGCAACTCCAAATTGTCACTATCTGAAGTGGAGGTAAAGAAATGAGTCATACCATCGTCACTCATCCTTAATTATTATCTATAGATAATTATGAAAGTGTACAATTTAAAATTTCCGAAAGATTTACTCCACACAAACTCACAAGCAAAAGTATAACGCACACGTATTCGAATTCGTAAAAAATAACCAAGACAGAAGCATCAGCCGGACGCCGGACCAGAATCAGCTGTTAAAAATCGAAAATCGATAATCCCTGCCAATATGCTTTAATGCACAAGTCAACCCAAACAGTTCTCAATTTGGACCATGTACCGAAATTACCGTTCCGAAATCGTAACTAAACGATCCCAAGGTAGGTTGGTAGGGGAGAGCGGGTACAATTGTAACGCGGTACAAATGTAACAGGTACCATAACTTTTTTAAATTCAAATACATTATTATGGCACCTTGTCAGTTATTCAAGTTCAAGACTCAGTACAATCTGACGACAGTTGAGACTTTTGCAATGGTGCAGTGACATAACAATAGAGCTATATCTCTTTATCGACACAAAAGCAAAACTTAAGCCATTTTATCAGTTCTTAAATAACTATCATATCTGATAGTTTACAGTCAATGTAGGTATATACTTTTGTAGCCTATGCATGTATATTTAACATGATATGTTCAGTTTAAGGTAAATTTTGCTCTAGTTTTTTAATTTCAATAAAAGTGCAGGGTTGTCAGTTCGGTACAATTGTAACAATTGCAAAGGGTACTTTTGTAACATGTTACAATGATACCTACCCATTGTTTCGTTAGATGTACTCATTTTTTTAATTAACATGCCTAAGTAATAATAATTAATAGTGATAAGGGACCTACAAATCAACTTATAAAAAGAGCTGCGGGTTTTTTTAGACCTCTGTCATGTAACACTTTTCCGTTATTTAAAAAAAATACAAGCTGGTGAAATTCCTAAAGTGGTTACAATCCACATACTCGAATTTTATCCCCCGAACAAGAAAAAGCATTTTTGGAAAAAAGGGAAATTCGCAAGTTGATATTTTTTAAAGTTTTTAATTATCTTGTTTTTAATATTGTACTTTTTTATAGGCGCATCAGTTTTTTTTAGAACGCTGTTTGGAAAAATCTACGATTGTGACTAGGTTAGAATTATTCTTAGAAAAAATTCTTAGAATAGGTATAACTTTTGAAGATTGTTGTCTGAACCAGTTTTTTCACATATTGTAAATAAAAGTTGGCATTCATTTTCTAGCAATTATTATTGTTTGAATGCATCCAAATCATATCTTAACGTTTGTCAGATTGTAGGAGCTAAAATTTTATTTGCTTCAGATGAAAAATCAATATACTAAACACGTTACATTTGTCCCTCCTCTATGTTACAACTGTACCACCGCGGGGTACAATTGTAACACATGTCATCACACCACTGTTGCCTTTTTTAAGACTACATAGGTGAATATACCTTCGATTTCTTATGTGCATTTTGATGATAAATGTCTAGGCTATCTAAAGATAATAAGTACACTTCGCGAAATTTCTCATTCTATTTTTGAAAAATAAATTTCTAAAAACTGTTACAACTGTACCCGCTCTCCCCTACTCAAATAGGACGCTTTAACTGTCAAATCTCGGTTGGAACACATTTGAATTACTGCGCACGAGCGTTTTGGTGACGGTTCTGCGGCGGGTTGGAACAAACCTATTAATTCCCTATCATATACGCCACGAGACTTTTCTGGCAGTATTTGTGCTGTAGCCGCCTCTGCCTGGTTAATAATTTCTTGCGGAAGATCTTCCTGAATCATTTTTCTTTAAACTCTGATTTGCTGGTTGATAATTCACTATTTTATCGTTAAAAATCGCGCAAAAATTTTATCGTTTATCTAAATGACGTCTTAATGTCAGTGCTATTTATTATAAAAAAAAAACGCACATCGAAATACAGAATTTTTATAAGTTCGCCACTTTTAACTGGTAGGCTTTGGACCCCTTATAGATGATCTGCCCCTGATGGAACTCGAAAACATATTTTTCCAGAATGACGAGGCACCGCCTCAGAACTCTGAAGTTATCAGCAAATTTTTGCAGCCAATTTCGAGAATCACTGTGATTTGCGACGTTGCCACAGTTCCGGCTCGTAATTTTGCGTACGCTCACGACGATCGCAAATTAAGATGCGAAGATGGCTGAAAAATTGAATTTTTAAAACGCATTCGTTTTCTAACACTCGCAAAGTTGCGCGTTCGCATGTAAACGATCAATTCCAAAAATTGCCCCCCAGACGTTGGCCATCGAGGCCGCTGGACTTAGTGCCTGTTATCCTTAGTGGATTTTCGTATTAGCGGAAGATTAAAGGTTCTTATTTTAAAATTGCTCGTATAATTTAGGCAAGAATTAGAAGTACTTAGCGGTTATGCGAGGGTATCGTTCATTCCCACTGAATTAATGAATTCCGCGAGAAATGTTCAAAAATGATCCCGTCTGTCCCTAACAGAAACGGTCAACATGTCGAACACCTGTAGCAAAATCTCATGTCTTGGTTTCCTATTAATAATTTTTATTGTTATTAAATATAGTTTAATTGTGTTTTGATGTTGTTAAATATAGTTTAAATTGTAATAAAATTCTGCATCTCTCAATTTTCGTTTTAATTGCTGCTCACAGCTAGAATTTTTTTGCATTATAGCCGGCGTCGTTCAAAGCCTACTTATTCAAAGTGGACGAATTTTTAAAAACTCTATATCTCCAAGAGCAATCGAGCAAAATATCAAGTATGCTATATTTTTGGAAATTAAAAATATACAGGGTATATAAAAAATCAAATTTTCTGTTGATAATTCTATGTAAAAAGGTGCTTTGGGAATATTTTCACAAAGATACAAATTTTTCCATAGCAAAAAAGTTACCGCGATTTAACTCCGAAATGGCAACAGATATCGATGTGCGGTTTTCACCATCATGTTTTTGATAAAAATTGAGCTCCAGACACCGATATTAGTTTTCGTCTATCTTCTATGTAAAAGGGTGTTTCCCTTTAAAAGGCGTTCAATTTGACCCACCTTGTACATCTGCTCATGAGAAGCCCTGTAAAACACTAAACTGGGACACCCTGTACAAAGTACCACAGAATTTAATTTTATATTAGTTATGTTTTTATGTTCTTGATGGGTATATTTTTATTGGTTGCAGTTATTCTAAAAATAAATTGTTTTATTCTTCTATAATGTCCCCTACAATAAATTAATAATGTAATTAACAAGAAAATTGGTTATACAAGAAAATTATATTAACATTTAAAAAATAGGTACTTAAATTGAATTCTGGTTACCAACCAACCCCAAACGAGCAAAATCAGAATAGCCAACTCTTTCTATCATTATAGGATGTCTCTATACCGTATGATGAAAAAAAAACGGCATCCAATTGACTTGGAAATGATGATCGATCTTATTTAATTTTACATATAAAATGACAACGATCTTCATTTCATAGCCATCGCTGATGCTGTTTTTTTATCATATTGTATTTAGTACACTGAATAACATATCGCTATTATTTTTTGAAACATTTTGCCGTGTCCAGACCAAGCAGACAAAACTGTGACAAGACAGAAACATTCATGTTTTACGACGAAGTTGTGACAAATCCAAAACATTTATGCGACATTTTTGTTTTGTTTCAAAATTAGGAGACTTTTCAATGTCCCGTCTCGAGTCGGTAAAAATCAAAGTGTCTATGTTTTGTTCGTATATTTTGCGACAAGATGTCGACGCAGTGTGTATGGCATGTGCTGCCAACAGTAGGAGACCAGTGAAATCACTCATGGTTAATACTTAACTCATTCGCAACAACTAAACTTCTGACTTTTTTGTACTTTTGTCATTGCGGTGTGGACAATTTGTCTCAAGTTTGTCTTGTCAGAAGTCTCCATTTTTTGTGACAAGTTTGTCTTGTTTTTGTCTCAAAATCGTGTTTACTGTTTGTCACCTTGGTCTGGACCCGGCATTAGGATTACTTATTTTCAAAAATTCGAGTGTTTGAAGGCTATTTTATTAATTATACAAAAAAACAATCCGTCCGTGTGAAAATAGTAAATAAGTGTACAATAACAATTTAGCTTTATTAGTTAATTTGAAGGCATTCGTCAATTTATCCTGGGTTTTATCTATACGTGCAACACCATAATTCTATTTACCATACTAATATTTTTATTGCACATTTTGGCAATTGTGTCGCTCCTTGTATTTGATCAGGTTTTTCGTTAATTTACAAACTAATTCGACAGCTGACTTAAAGTATTAATTATTCTGTATATTTTACTTAATACTGGGAGCTGTGCGCAAATTTTTATGGCTTACTATAATCATTTCGTAGTGTGCATAATTTGATTTAAGTGAGTCAACTGCCGGAATATTTTCATTCGGTGAAGTGTAGATGATTTTAATGAAAACTGAAAATTTATTGATTCTTTACTTATTGTGTTAATAAGTAGATATTAGAGTATTAATAAGTATTAATAATATATGTGCTAGTTTGTTTCTTTAAGACACTTTGTGTTAGTTCGTTTAATCTTCTACTTTCTAAACATCTGCGGTGGTAATCAACAATGATTGAAATAGTTGGCTATTCTGATTTTTCACGTTTGGTTGGCAGTACATTTAAGAAATTCGAATATTTTTCTGTTGTTATCACTAACCAAAATCTACTATCAAATCTAAAACTAACTATCAGAAAAAAAAACACATGCGCGCCACTGACTTTTTTCTTTTGATATCAAAATTCTGTAGGCCGTTTAATGCCAATTGAAAGTTATCTCTTGATATTTTGTTGAATTCGGCCTCCTTGATGAGATAAACGCAATTTTATTAATCTCAATTAATAACATTAAAATAAAAATAAAATTAATAAATTATATATCTTACGAGTATCTTACCTAATTCATTATTAAATATTACTACTATTAGTCCAATCTAGAGCAATTTCGATAAAAAAATAATGGTATTCAAAATAATTACAAAAAACCCAATTTTAAAAAATTTTAACATCTTGTAACTCTAAAACACATGTTTATAGGAACTTTTTTCATATTTTTTGAAATATATATATATTATTATATATATATTTTTGCCTATATATTAATTGATTTTCGGATTCTAGGAAAAAAAAATAAAGGTGAGTTTTATTAAAGGAGCATATACCTAAAATCTAAGGATTTTGACATATTTCACATTTTGTGAAAATGAAGATTAAATTATAAATTTCGAAAACAGCTACCTAAATTTTAGTTGACCTTATATAGTCTGTTATATAATTACAGTAACCATTGTGTGTTAAGCCAAATTGAAATTTGACGCGAAAAGTTATACAGGGTGAGACAAAATTAATATGGAACATTAGTCACATTTAAAAGCAAGTTACTCCTTTATTTTAAATGGAACACGGAGTATATTATTCCAGTGTTCAATGGGGAATATATATATATCTTCAAACTATTATTAAGGTTGCCTACCCCTCAGACCAAGATTTTCCTAGATATTTTAATTTTTATGATTTTGCGTCAGTAGATCTTTATTATTTGAGAAAATCTATGTGGCTGTGATATACCTTTTGTTAATTTAACAAAAATTAAAGATTGTAGAGTATATACTCAACAGTAGTAAAAAGATACACGTTTAAAACGTATTTTAATTATACACATATACAGAATTAAAACTAGATATAAACATATAATTATATTATATATTATACAGGGTGTTTCAGATTTTAATCGGGAAAATTTAATAGACGATAGAACTTAACTTTAACTAAAATAAAACAAAAAGTTCATATCAACTTGTAAGATTTAAAGCTTTCTTTTCGAGATACAGGGTGTTAAAATTACTTAAAAAAGAAAAAAAAATTAAGATATTTGAAAAACTATTTAATCGATTTTAATATAACTTGACCCGTTTATAATACTTACTATGGGACTTAATTTGATGTAATTAGATTTAAGTTTAATGGCCAGGGGCAGCGGTTGAGCATCACTGTTAAATTATTTTAAAGGAAAAAATAGACACGCCACTGCGTTTTTAGAAGTTTAATATTATTTTTGAATTTAGCAATTAAAAATATTATTTTTTTGTCTCCTGAATTTTTTGTCTATCTTGCTTACATCTTGCGAAAAAAAATAAATTCTAATTGGTAATTAATATTATAATTGGTATTCTAATGGTAACTTGTATCTCGAAAAGGAAGCTTTAAATCTTACAAGTTGATATGAGCTTTTTGTTTTATTTTTGCAAGTTCTATCGTCTATTAAGTTTTCCCGATTAAAATCTGACACACCCTGTATATGTATATTATGTGACACAAATTAGCTAGATGAAATTGAATGCTTCCTTTCCTGTGAACTGCACAAAATGATTGTCATTTCAAAAGGATATTTTCATTTTCTAAGGCAAATGTGGAGTTCTACCTCGGAAAACAGCTACAATAATAATTATTGTTCTCATGTTGTCGACAATAGTTAATCGAGTTTTGTAAATACTCTCTTTAACATAATCCCATAAAAAAAACAGACTAGATAAAATGAGGAGCATTTAAGTATTCTTTTAGTTTATGCAGTATGCATTCACCAAATAATATAAAAATATCAATTCTCTCTGATGTAGGATACATACATACATACATATACATATTTTCTATCTGATGTAGGATAAGTTCACATCTTCGGTAAATTTCTGATTTTTTTTCTTTTAACTAACACAAAATTATAACTATTTGTTAAAGTTGAACTAATTAGACAGATATGTTGAAGTAACGTCAGACATATCACAGCCACCTAGATTTTATCAAATATGTAATTAAGATTTACTCAGATCAAATCATGTAAATGAAAATATCTAGGAAAATCTTGAAGGGTAGGCAACCTTAATAGTATTTTGAAGAGACATGAATTCTCCATTGAATATCGGAATAATATACTGGATGTTCGATTTAAAACAAAAGAGCAACAAGGGTGATCACTGTTCAATATTAATTTTGTCTCACCCTGTATAACTTGTTGGATCAAGTTTTAATTTAATTTAAAGTACAATAGTTAATTTAACTATATATTAGGCAATACCGGGTAAATTCCAATTTAAATAGCTTTTATTGTAATTTATAAAATTGTTCTTTATTTCTAGAAAATGTTAAATATGTTAAAAATATTACATTTTAGTGATATACTTGTCTTATAATAACTGATAAAAATCACCTTTATTTTTCTCTTGATATGTAACTATGGATAATGATATTTAACTTTGATATGTAACTTTTTTGGGGGACACCCTGTAGAACTCTCTATATTTTAAATGTGCTCTGAATTAACCTACATATGCTCACAAAATTTCATCTCAATATAAACTGTCGTTCTCCTTGGAGCCTCCGCGGCGTGTGAGAGGCGCCACCCTGTATACGTAATAATCACATGATACAATAACAAACCAAATACTAAACTTTTTTTAATAAATAAGTGGCAATCTATATATTTTCTGTTTACATCTGCTTTGTAAAGCGTGGGGGTACATTCGTTTTGTGTTGCAGCCAATGCACACTTACTTGATTTATTTAATGGTTTCTTATCAGACTTTGTTTTAAATCCATTTTTCCTCTTTATTGTAGTAGGTAAACCAGTAGTAGACGTAAAAAAAGATCCAAAAGATGACGGAAATGTTCTCCCTCAGAGTTACGACGAGGAGTGTAACATTGAAGAGATCCAGCATGGGCACTGGAAAAGAATTATGCTCCTGGTGGTCGCCATCACCGTACACAACATTCCAGAAGGCTTGGCCGTGGGTGTCGGCTTTGCCGCATCTGGATCTTCAAGTTCGGCGAACTTTGAAACAGCAAGGTAAGTTCATAAATTTCTTAGTGTGTATGATATAGGCATTTCCTTCACAGAAATTATCATTGATGTGATTTCACAAGCCACTGTTTCGATTATGGTCATCTGATATGATACAAACCGTCGCCAGTATTGTAGCTATTGATGAAATATACTAAGGGCTGGCAAAGGTTAGTCTTGGGTCGAGATTTCCGTATGTAAGAAGAGTGCAATGCGTTTATAATGTATTGAACAAAGAGAGGACAGTAAACACGTTGCTAAACGTATGAAATAAACCGAGAAGCTGTGCACATCGTTAAGAGACGTGGAAGGGGATATAGCAGATTTGTCGCAGTTGACAGGTCGACCCATTCAATAACTCTGTCAGTTCTTATAGTTCTAGGGAAAGGTGTACGTCATGCGTTCAGCTTCACGATTTAATTACGTCTCGCGATACTTAATTTGTTTATTTATTAACGAGTCGTTGTAATTTTCCCTATAGCTTGAATTTTTTTAAGTGCAAGCTAGAAACACTTGCATTTTTGGTAAAAAATAAGGGGAATTGAGTGGGTGTTCGATAGTGGTCGCGCTATTAGAACCCGAAATCTATTAGAAGTGATAGATTGTAGTTTTTTCAAGAACTTTGTTAATATTGCGATTGCTGAAAATTGCTATGCTCTAAAAGTAAATGGATAACAATCCATCCATACAATTTTTGGAATGGAAAAAACAACCTTATCGAATATTTCTATGTTAATTGTAAAATATCCGATCTTGAAAATAAAAAAAAAGTTTCAATATCTAAAGTGGTTCTTGAGTTATGGCCTGTTATGTATTAAAAAGTTGAGTTTTTAAATTATCGCGATTACTGACGTTTTCTCGTTATAAAAAAAATGACACCCTATCGATATCCTTATAATTCCATTTCAGATGCTCAGACACATGTCTAATGATTTTATCTAGTTATCTCTTGAAAAAAAAGTCTTTTAAAAATAAGCGGTTTGCGATCGTGATTTTACTTTACTTGATAGGGAAAGGCGTATCGGCAACGCCGCAACAGCACACCGTCGGGCGTCGCGTCGGTCGGTCGCATTTCTCTCACTCCGACTTCCACACATGTAAATGCCGACCCAAAAGTAAAAGTTGCCAGCACGGTATTAATATTCTATAACAGGGTATTAAAATATCCTATTGTTTTAGCGATTAAAATCTGGAAAATCGACTATATGTTTGACATAATTATAAGTGTGGTCCAGTTAGTGGGGTGTTCGCCCGTTTTCTAGCTAGATCGTTTGCTTTTTCATTGCATTCTACCTCTTGGTGGGCTGGCACCCAGAGTATGAGGAATTTATTATCTTTGCCTAATTTGTTCAGCTTCTCTAGGTATTCTTTGACCAACTTCGAATTGATGGTTACTGAGTTGATCACTTTCATTGCGAGAGAGAGTCTACTTATCTAACTACTAAGTTTGTAGGCCTTTACAGGGCTGAGCACTGTGGTTCGGAATTTGCATAAACAAAATAGGGCCTTTCCTTTATTCACTTTCCTACTTAATTATTATTTTTTTCCTTTAAGAAAACGGGCGGTATAGGCTAACAAGGGAAAGTTAGTACGTTAAATTGTTTAAAGCACTTGGTTTTTTTATAAGGAAATAATTGCAACTACATTTTTTATTTATACATTTGGTTATCTACCAATTAATAGGTAAGTACGAAAACCATTTTATTGTTAGACTAATTGTTAAAATACTATGCTGAATGATCAGATTATTGGAAATTACTTAAAATAATCAGTAATGTGTGGCTTGTAGGACATGTTTATGTCTTTATTAACATTTTCTACATACAATGTAGTTTGGAAAAAGTTGTTATTTTTTCAAAAAAATGGGATATCCATAGAGTGGTTTTTTATTGTATTTCATCGTTAAAATAGATTTCCAGCTGCTACTTTTATTTTAAACATTTAATTTGTATATTTGAATATTTTTATTCTCTAGCAAAATATAACATTGTATCATTACATTAAATGTTATAGATGCAATTATATACTTTTATTATATTACTCAAAACTGATTTTAATGCAGCAACATTGATACACACTATCTTGTTAAAATTGTTGTATATCTTTATTTTTTGACTGAATTTTACCCACCATAGTAGTTTAAAAGCAAATAATGTTTTCTTGTAGTGATGACAGATTTTAGTATGCCCTTATAACTCTAATTTTAATTATAAATATGAGAATCAAATATGTTGAAAAAGGAACTGAATGCTTAACCTTCGCCATCATTTAAGGTGAAGGTTGGTCTGCTTATATGCCAGTCTTAGTATGTAACATTCTTAGAATGTAGAGTATATTTTACGTTTAGAAATTTATAATAAATTATCTAACCTACGTATTAAATAAACCTGATGATCCACTTTCATATTAAAAATATCAAGGTTCCAGTTCGTGAAAATATAATAGAACAAGATCAATTTGTTCAAAGAATTCTTTTAGCTCCAATAATTGTGACGTTATGACGTTATTAAATATAAGCTGAAGTATGCTACCGGTATTTTAGAATGAAATACTATTTTGTTAATTATTACTATAAAATTTACCATGGCTTATTACGCTAATTATTTTTTGTTCAATCTTTTATGTCATAAAATTCTTACATACAGATTGCACATTCTTTCAATACTGATCATAAATAGGCCAGTCAGCGAGGGTTTAAAGGTCTGAATTCTGAACACCTGCACCGATTGACATGAAATTTTAACAGTGAATAGAGATATATGTTAGAAACAAAAGTTACAGAGTAGCGATGTGTGTTTTCACCCTGGCGGTGAGTACCACCCCTTCTGGTGAAAAATAAATCACCCATTTTAATTACAAAAATCAATAAAGGGATGAATTTTAAGCAAAAAATGTTCTATAACATTTTTTCATAAAATTAATATTTTCCTAGTTATTTAGGACTGAAAATGTTGATTTTTCATCTAAAAACTACATATTTTTTCCCAATTTTTATAAATAACTTGAAAACCTTGCATTTTATCGCAAAACTCATATAAAGCAAAAATTAAGCTTTTGGAATAACTAAACGATCCATTTTTCGTTGATTACCGTAGGTGTAATAATAACCGAGTTATTCTACAAACGTGATTTTTTATTTTTCGAAAACTAAATTGCAACCTTTTACCGTAAAATAATGGCGAAAGAACACATTTTTCGAAGAAAATGTATATGATCATTTTTAAAGTGCTTGAAAATACCTTTTAAATGCTTTCTTAAAAAAGTTCGTAGCTCAAAAACTCGCGGAGTTATGATAAAAATAATATGGTCACCTCCTTATTACGGGAAAAAATTAACAACAAAATCTGACTAAAATCATAAAAATAAAAACTTAATTTTATTATTTTACTTTAGGTACTAATAATTGACTCTGCAAGTTCGAGCAGTTTAGAATGCCTAAATTTGGAAAAATGTTGAAAATAATGAAAATTATTTTATGTTTTTTAAAAAATTTTAATTTTTTTGACATATCTCAAAAACTAAGCAAAATACGTAAAAAATGCAACAGAGGAAAATTGAAGGTTTTTTTGCAATATTTTTGCTCCCTTTCAATTTTTCTGTAGATCTCTTTATTTCGTAGATATTACGTTTTTTTAGTTTGACTTGCATGTAAGGACCACCTTCTTTGAGCCCTTAAAACCCAAAAATCTCGTGTGAAAATGAAGAGTTCAAGACTGTTCAACTATAAAAGTTAAGTTGTAGCTCGTGTAATTTCCTACAAATTGATAGTTTTTATTTTTATGAGTTTAGTCATAGATTTTGTTTTTTCGGAAAATTTGTTTTCCGAAAAAATGAGGTGACCATTTTATTTTTATCATAACTCCACGAGTTTTTGAGCTACGAACTTGAAAAGACCTTAAAAAAAGACATTTAAAAGGTCTTTTCAAGCACTTTAAAAAGGGTCATATTCATTTTCTTCGAAAAATGTGTTCTTTGGCCATTATTTTACAGTAAAAGGTTGCAATTTAGTTTTCGAAAAATAAATAATCGAGTTTACTGAGTGATAACTCGGCTATTGCTACACCTACTGTAAACAACAAAAAATGAATCGATTCGTTATTCCAAAAGCTTCATTTTTGTTTTATATGAGTTTTGCGATAAAACGCCAGATTTTCGAGTTTTTTCACCTCCCAAAAGGGGTGCACTCAGCCCCAGGGTGAAAGCACACATCGCTACTATGTAACTTTTGTTTCTTACATATATATCTATTTACTGACTGTTAAAATTTCGCGTCAATCGGTGCGGGTGTTAAGAATTCGGAGGTAATACCCTATTTTTATCTTCGTTTACTGGCCTAAAAATATTAGTTCTATATCTTTGTAAAGTCTCCAACGAGCAAAGAAAGATTTTGACAGACGATATTCAAAAAATGACAGAAAATACAATTTACCTGTAAATTAAATTGACAGACAAAAATAGTCACTGCCATAATATATTCTTCAGACTTTAGCTGGTTCTTATCTGACTCACTTCAAAAAGTATTTTTTATATTTCATTTAAGAGGGTTATTCCATAATGTTTACATTGTTAAAGTCTACTTAAAGTGACTTATAATTAATAAAATATGGATTATATTCTTAAGTTTATATCATCGTCTTTTATTCAAGTATTACAAGTTCAAGATGACAATTAAATTAATGCCAATAGCTTAGTCGTTGGGTATCTAGAACAAGTGTGCTAGGTCTAGGTCGAGGGTACTACTATTTGCTAAAGTACCGTAGAACGAGGGAACGAAATACATTGTTGAATGATTTCGTCGTTTGGCATTGAGAATATTTTAATCTTATTGGGCTGGTCGAATAGGAAAAGTGTGGAATTGAATTGTGATTACTGATGAATTCAAGGAAACGATTGTATGATAGAACTAGTTACTAAAGATATTATGTAGGTGTGTTTTTTAAACACGAAGAAATATTTTGGATTAATTTATAAACGAGTGCCCTTGTGTATTTTTTTTATTTATTTAG